ATATATATATATATATAATTTTTTTTTTTTTGTCGAAAAAAGGAGACCAAATATTATTGCAGATTATATGTGTTGCTCCAAATTATAATCGCAATGATTGTTGTCATTTGTGAAATTTATTTTTACATTTCAGGTATTGCATTTTCACCAATAAGCACAAATCATGTGGACTCATACACATGGTTTATTTTACCTCATCTAGTGTACTGATTTATTATAGGCTATTTATTATATAAATGAATATCAAAGACTTAGATATGCACTCTCTCTACTTTATGAAAACTGGTAAAAACAAACAAAAAATATTTTAACAATGAAATTCCTGATGGTAATTCCAATAATTCCAAATCACAATAATGTTTCTCTATTAAAACAACAGCGGTTGAGTAAGTGTATTTTTTCAGCAACCACAATTGCAAACACAATAGTCGAGATCTCATGACAGACATGAGACTGGCTGAATGACACTTTCTTTTAAGCTGAACTTCTGAATTGAAACTGAATTCAGATCATCGTCGGTGCTTCCGTAATGTAGAGCGAGCATGTGTGCATGCTTTCCAGATAAAAAAAAATTAAGTAAAACACTGGACAGAAAACGTATCCATTTAACACAGAAGCTCTGATTTGGGGATTTGAACTCTTGATATCTGTCAACCAAATACATGAAAGCTCGCCTAGTAGAGGCATGACCAGCAGTCCGCAATAATATTTTGTCTCCTTTTTTCGACAAAAATAAAAAGATATATATTTTGATATAGTTTTTTATAATTTTCTTTAATTTGGTTTGCTGTTTTATGGTCAGTTAAATCTTCTGCTCCATTTAATTTTTTTATTTTATACAATGCAGTGCACCAAAGTGAAAAACTTCCCAGAAAACTGTGTTGAATCTCTTTTCCTGCCATTCCAGTTCAAATTCTTCAGTGAGGCTGAGGCTGAGAATTTCATTGCAAATATTCTTATTTCACACTCGTTGAATGTATGGTTTGCTGTGCTGCATAATGTTCCACATAGGGGTCCCCCAAGGCTCCATTCTAGGCCCCCAGCCATTGTGGCAGTGATGCAGATGAGGGTCAGCGCCAGGTTTCTGTGGAGACCTTGTGGTCGGGAGATCAGGCATACAGAGTACCTGTAATTACCTCATGATGGCTGTTACAGGTCACCGTCCTGCTGTTACCACTGCACATCATTCACCATATTTGTTTTGTCATGCCACACCTGTCCTTGTTACGGAGAATAATCCGGCTAAATAAATCACATTATCCTACTGCCTTGTGCCATGCGGCTCTGAAGCGTGGATCCGGGAGCCTGGGTAATAAGTTTCAATTAGAGGATGGATGGAGGGGGGTTGGAGGGGGGTGTCTCACCAAGCCCAGCATTAGGGGCTTCTGCTCCCCTGTGCCGAGGGGTGATTTGTCTCCATTAAAATGCAAGGCGCCTGAGTTTGTGTTGGAACTGCAAGATTATAAGGAGCTACAGGGTTCAATGCCAAGACCTGTCCACTTACCAGAGATCCATTATATGGTCTACAGATATCAGAATGCAAAAGAAAATGTCCAGAGTATCTTTCTTTTCATACATTCCTGGTCCTGCTCTCTGTTCTTCTGACCCTCATGGCAAAAAGTCCAAAATGAAAATGTGGTTTGTTGTATTATAGTCAGTTAAATCTCCTTCTCCATCGCCAGTGAAACGGTCTCTATTTTGCTCATTTTACAGCTGTTTCCTGAGACCGGACCACGGCAAGGCGGAACCAGACTCACCATCACCGGAGAGAACCTGGGTCTGCAGTTTAGAGACATTATGACAGGCGTTCGGCTGGGAAAAGTACCATGTGTTCCTATTGAAGAGGAATACATTAGTGCGGAAAGGTGGGTGAAACATACAGTATTTTGGCTTCAATTTGTCCTGTTTTAATACTGTGAATCTGCTTTGAAACAATCGCTACTGTATAAAGCACTATAAAAAAACTGTGTGACGAGAGGGGTGGGGCCGAGAGCCGTGGGAACGGAGCGAGGCCGGTGGAGTAATTGATGATGAGCGACACCTGCACCACTCACCGGTCTCGAGTCCCACGGAGGAGCTCCGGAAGGATAAAAGGAGGAGTGACAACAGTGTTGGAGGAGAGAGGACCAGGCCTGGACTTCTCTCGACTTTCACTGTCGTCACTACTTTTATCCCTCCAGAGCTCCTCCGTGGGACTCGAGACCGGTGAGTGGTGCAGGTGTCGCTCATCATCAATTACTCCACCGGCCTCGCTCCGTTCCCACGGCTCTCTGCCCCGATCCCACTCATCACAAACTGACTTGACTTGATTAGCGCCATATTTAGTATTTGACAGAAATGGAAACGAGGCTGTGAGGAATAGAAATACAGTGCGCTTCGTGGATTCTACTATTGTCTAACCTGAATAAGGTCTATTATACTCTTACTTTTCACTGTATAATCTGTCAATCTCAACCCACAGAGTGCATTTTTAATACATGTTAGCTCTGGTTACTGATTATTCTTTCAGCATGTCCAGTTGTTCCATTTACCATATTTTACCACATCTAAATTAAGAATCCTTGCTGTGCAGAAATCAGTGTATAAAATGCATAAAAATGCCTGTAGATTATGTCTGGGCCGGATAATAAATCAGACACAGATTAATTATAGTAAAAATATTTACTTGCACTGTATCATATAAATCCGTCCATTCACCTTCCTCCTTAGCAGTGCTGTTAATCACAAACCCTAAAGAGGATTCCAATGTTTTTTTCTCTTCCACAGGATTGTGTGTCTGCTGAATGATGCCACAGGATACCGCGTGCAGGAAGCCCAGGTGGAGGTGTGCGTGAGAGACTGCCTGGCTGACTACAGAGCCCTCTCACCCAGGGCTTTCACCTTTGTGGTGAGTGTCTAAGGATCTGGAGACACTTAATCCTACAGATACATTCAGATCTTCCTGTCTTTTTGATAATTTAAATGCAAAATGGATGCATATAATTCCAAATGTCTTTTAAATAATTTAAATGCAAAATGGATGCATATAATTCCAAATGTGCGTAAAAATGCACTACTGTTCAAAAGTTGTTGATTTTTTTTCCTATTTATATTACTTTTATTCAGCAAGGATGCATTAAATTGACAAACTATTTCTATTTCGAATGAATGCTGTTCTTTTGATCAGCTTTGCCGTTTAAATTACATTTAAAAATATATTAAAATGAAAACTAAAGTTTTTTTTTTATAAATTGTGATGGTGGGTGAACAAAAGAGACTTCTTTTAAAAACGTTTAAAAATCTTGCCAACCCCAAATTGAATGTAAATATCATTATTGAATGAATTTCTACTTGCATAGAGTTTGTGGCCTTAAAGCTTTTACTAATAATGTATGAAATAAGATGACAATAACAAACAATGTGCTTCTTCAATATGTAATTTTTTTCCTTAGACGCCATACTTCACCCGTATCCAGCCCGCTCAGGGACCTCTTTCAGGAGGAACCAGAATCACCATTGAAGGAAACCATCTCAACGCTGGCAGCTCTGTGTTGGTCAACATTGGGCTTCACTCTTGTCACTTTAAAAAGTGAGCAATGATCTTCTTTATCTTTTAGTTTGTGCAATTGTTTAGCAGTTTATATCTCGCACTAACAATTCCCGAGAAGGAAACACTGAATTGTGAGATGTAAACTCATAATTTTGAGAAAAAAGTCACAATTACCTTTTCTATTTTTTATTCCGTGGTGGGGAAAAAAACAAACAAACTGATTTTCAAGATGTAAACTCAGAATTTAGAGAAGAAAAGTAAAAATTGCTAGATTTCAACTTGGAATTCTAAGGGGGAAAAATTTGAATTGTAAGCTGTAAACTCACAATTACTAGTTTATAACAATTACGAACAATTGAGAGACATAAGTCTTCTAACTCACAATTCTTAGAAGAACAGTCATAATTGTGAAATATAAACTTGCAATTGCTAGAAAAAAAAGGCAGAATTGTGAGAAGTCTCAATTACTTTTTTCACTTTTTTTTAATTCCGTAGCAGAAACAAGCTTTCAGAATCAAAAGCCCCAAACGATGAAAAAAGCATACAGTTGTCTGTTTGGCTGCCCTTCTGTCTGTCTTGTTATCGTTTTATCTCTCCATCTGTCTGGCTTTCTTTCCAACTTTGTGTTTGTGTCTGTCATATAGTTTCTGTTTGTTTGTTTGTTTATATGTTCTATAGGCTCTGTGCCAGTCATTTTGATGGTTAACCTGTTGGCTGTTTTGGTGTAGCATTTGCCAACGTACAGTCTCTACTTTCTTGTTAATGTGGTCCTTTTCTCTCTCTCGCTCTGTCTGCCAAGTTGTCTCCCTCTGTCTTTATCTGTATCCTTCCAAAAAGCTGTCTTCTGGCTTCTCACCTTAGCACGTCCACCTGTCATTCCGTCAGTCAAAACGCCCAGGCCCGTTTCTTTTTTAACCATCGGTGTGTATCTACAGCATAAAGAGACACTTTGAAGGCAAGAACATCAGCCACGTTATGGCACAGGCAGTCCCGGTCAATTTTGCGCTTCCGTTTGTGGACGGGGACAGTGAATGAGTATTCCTGCCGTCCACCTGTCTATCTGTAGCACCAGACCGCTCTGCATTGCAGCAGGGAATAAAAACATTGTCTCACTGCCAAGTCTCAGACATGAGAGAGGGAGAGAATGAGGATTACCGCGGTTCTCGCTGACTGAGACATCAGCTACACCTGGTCTCAGAGCCAGGGTTCACTTCAGAGAGAAAGTGCACTTCCTGTTATCCCATTGTGCGAGGGTGTTAAAGGGATAGTTCACTCAAAAATGAATGTTCTCTCATCATTTATTCACCCTCGCATCATTCCAAGCCTTTCTTCTGCGGAACATAAAAGGACAAGTTTTGAAGAACGTTCACGCTGCTCGCTTCAATGCTATTAAAATGGATGGAGATTAGGGCCATTCATTCCTCAAAAAGCCACAATTCAAGGGATTGTCTACCCAGAAATTTAAATTAAGAAATCGTTTACCCACCCACGTGTCATTCTAAACCTATAAGACAATCTTTCTTCTATAAAACACAAAAGGAGAAGTTTTGAAGAATGTTCACACTGTTGGCTTCAACACAGTGAAAGTGAATGGAGACTAGGGGATTTCATGCCCCAAAAATCCACAATTAATTAATTTTTCTTCTCTGAAGAACGTTGGGAAAACGGAGACGTTTCATCTTTTATGAAGAAAGAAAGTCATATAGTTTTGGAATGACATGAGGGTGAGAAAATTATGATTGATTTTTCATTTTGTTTTGTCCAAACTCTTCCCTTAAAGTATCATGAAAGTAGCACATACAACATATGCACTATGTTCTAAGCCTTTATAAGCCACCCCCCCCCAAAAAACAATATATGAGGAACAGACTAAAATTAAATTTAACTATTCACTGAAAGTCTTGTTTGATAGCTGTAGTCCCTGTTGCACTTGCATTGCATGGAAAGGGCAGCTTGGACATTTTGTGAAACATCTGCTTTCATGTTCTTCAGAAGAAACACTGTCAAACAAGTTTCAAAAGCCATGAGATCTTCGTTTTCGGGCCGAAACATCCCTTTCATATGCCCTGCTTCTTTTTTCTTTTTTGTGTGTGTTTTGTGTCTTCCATTCATAATATCCAGCGAATTCGTATTCAGATTTATTCTACATGTCTGTAATCCAAATGACATATTTAAAATGCAAAATCTCAAAAAAATATCCCAAAGCAATGATTGCATTTTGCACTTAATTCCGTTGAATGTCTGTATATTTTACCTTTGAGGAAATTTGTGGCTTATCCACTCCACAACTCTCTCTCTTTGCACTCTTTCATCATTTTTTTGTTTTTTTTTTGTTTGTGACAACCACCTTGTCAAAATATGTGCAGTCTTCAGAGGATTTCTGGGGTGTGCATCTTGAAAAGCGTTCCCATGGCAACGTGCTAAGGGGATGTGCATGGAGATTACAGTACAGGAGGAGAGAGTGAAGCAGGCTGAGAAAAACAGAGCCAAAGTGAAACCCATATGGTTGTTAACACAAATGATAGAGCTTCATCAAACATACTTAACTCTTACTGAGGACAGAATCTGTATCATGATGAAATATGAATGTGATGACATGCTTACACGGCTTAACACTTCAGTTGCTCTTTCTCTGCGCTTCCTCCATGACTGTAGGCGGAGCTCTAAAGAGATCGTGTGCATGACCCCGGCCGGCGTGAACGCGGGAAGCACTCCGGTTATGGTGGACATAGACTCAGCTGAGCTGAGGAACCCCGAGGTGAAGTTTAACTACACAGAGGACCCCACCATCCTGAAGATAGACCCGGTCTGGAGCATTGCTAGGTAGGCCACGCAACTGTTACATGGACCATTATTTGCAACATTGTGACTACAGAATAGAATGGAAACCTGACTAGAAGGTTTTTTTTGTAATTTTTTATTTTTTTTTGGAACCATGGCCTAGAGGTTTATGTGCACTAATACATTGAGCAGTAGGCAATCATGGAAGAAACACAAGCTTGTAATAAATTAATAATAAATTAAGCACACATCAAATTTATTTTAACTATATTGTAGATTCAATGCCTGTTTACACCAAAGATGATAACTGTAGCAATAACTAAAGTTTTAATAATCGTTCTAATTCTAGAAGAATAGGGATGTTCAGATCTCGAATATAAATATAATGGCACAGAGGAATGATATTTTTGTAATCACTTTCAAAACGGTTTGTGGTTTGTTTAAAATGTGGCTAAATGTGCTAGGTGTTTCACATGATCGACTTTAGTTGATTGCGGCCCAAAAATTGCTCACAGAAAAATATTATTTGTAGATAATTTGTACAATGGATCTAGACATGTCGATCCTCACCAGAAGGTATTTTAACATTTAAAAAATAGATACACTTCACCTTGTTGTTTTTTCGTAGTGGTTAGCATATGTGCTCCAACACATAGTGTTGTGATGCTCATGTGGTAGTCATGGGTTCAGAACTGGCCCACTTTGTGTCAAAGTACCCTTGTCATAATTTTCTGTCATCTTTCTACTTTCTATCTTAGCCCTCTGGGGTCCGAGGGTGTTTTGGGGCCCTGGAAAAGTTTTGACATGCCCTGATATTTGTGCTTTTTTCAGTTGCTTACAAACATTTTAATGTCTAAAGTTTAATAACACTGTAATCAGCACAAACTGGGCTACAATAATATGTGAGCAGCATGTATGTATGTGATTGTGTTTTTGAGAAAACAACGTTTATGCGTGCTTAGTGAAAAACTACAATTTTAAAGTCACTGAAATAAGGCCATAAAACAAATACAGGACATTTTGTTCACAAGACTTTTGAGAACTGGATCTTGAAGTCTAGAGTTTTTGCTTCAAAATTATGTGAAAATCATCTTACTCATTTACATAAAACAATATATTGATTTACATTTTCTAAGACACTTTTTGTGTAGAAATGCAAGGAGGCGTGAATGTGCATGCATAATGCTGTGATTCACACCTGAGAACACAAAGGCCCACATAATGAGCTGCATAATGAGCCTTTCAGTCAGGTGTGTGACAGAGGGAATTGCTACAAGAAAGAATGTAAGGAAAAAATTAATTTATATATTTTTGTTTGTAGTTTATTTAGAATACATATTACTATCACATAAAATAACTTGAGATTCACTTGCAGGTGCAGTTAAACCGTTTATTAGGAACAAAAAAATAAAAAACAACATGAGTCAAGATGTCATGGGTGCAATATCCAAAACAGCGGCAGGAAACTTGAACAACATTTTGAAGAGACTCATGGGAGTGTGTGCATCACATGTTCTTAGCTGTGGTCCAGGTTCCTGTGTGGGCAGGAATCTCAGAGCCTGTGGAACATGTCAACATCAGTCTCTGTTTTCCATGACCGAGTTGGCTGCTCTGCTTTGGCTCTCTTTGCAACAGGTTCTTTTTCACTGTTATTCTCACATCTAAAATAAAACAAAATCGAAACAAAGAACACAGTTACCACACAGCAAACATAGTTTACCATACAGCAAATGGAAATGGCAAAAATTGCAAAATTAAAAACGTGGCAAGTCCGTGAAATTTGGTACAACAAAGAAGTAATAAAAATCAATACGGAGCCATTTGTGTTAAACTTTCACTTGACACATGAGCAGAACTCATTAAGAGGTTGAAAAATGAGATTCTTTTAGGCATCGCTCCAGAGTCGCTCCCTTCACGCCATCAGACGTCAGCACCTGCGAGCAGAGCTGCTGTCAGGTGATGATTTTGCAGCTTTCCAGAGAGCAGGAGCGATTTGCACTAAAGCATGTCTTGGTCTGTCAGTGTCGAGGGGTGAAATAAAAACACAGAATCCATAGAAACACCATCAAGTGTCAGATGGGGCAGGCAGGATGGAGCACTTATCACCTGCAACTTCACTGCTGCTGCGGGTTATAGAGCGAGCTCTTTAAAAGCCTGTAGAAAAGAAGCTCTTAACACTCTCTCTCTCTCTCTCTCTCTCTCTCTCTCTCTCACTCCTTCTCTTTTTCTATCTCTCACTTTGTTATTTACCTTTGTGTGGTGTCAGCGGTACACTCTCGGAGAGCAAAAAAGTGAGAAATGTAAAGCTATAGAGCAAAGCTTTTGACTTTATGTAGTTAGTGGGTATCTGTGTATAACAATTTTTAAACAGTATTTGAATGATTGCTGATGTTTCAGCCTGCTTATTATGTTCCTAGTCTCATGTAGCCAGACCTGTGACTAAACAGAATAAGGTCTGGTTCACATTACGGCTTAATATCAGCAAAATAATAATAATAATAATCCTGTCTTTGAAAGAAAGAGGTTGTTTAAACATCAGCTCCGCCCACAGTGATGTATTTAATTTGGCACAAAATGGTATAATATATATGTATTGTGTTGTAAGACACATGCGTATGTAGTACTGTGAAAAAAGAATAATTTTTTATACATATTTATATATTTTATTTTACTGTATTTTACTGTTCTGTAATATTGTTTCTCGTCTTTATATATATATATATATATATATATATATATTGCATTACTCATCTTTACGTTGGCATAATATTTAAAAGATATATTGAAAAAATGTAAATTACAATATATTACATAATTTTTTTGCTTAATTTTTCATATATTTACAATACTGTGAAATATATAAAATGTTAGTTGAGTTTGACTGAAGAAATTCCTGGAAAGAGTCAGGAGTCGGTTATGTCACGACACACGCATACTCACAACCGTGTGTCTGTGTGATTGTGTTTTGTTGCTGACCCAGGCCACTACAGTTAAGTGTGTGCACTCTCTGTTGAGCCCTGCTTTGAACGGGGCCATTATCCCCCAGGAGTGTGTACCATGGTACTTTCCCCCCCTTCATCTGCCTCTGAAAAACAAATGCACACACACAGGGATCAAAGCAATACCGGAAATGACTGCGCCTGTGCAGAAGTCGCCCCTAGCTTGAACAGACCTAACTGGAACCCAAAAGTTGTGGCCCTAGAGCCTGTTAGTGTGCGCCGAGTGAATCTATTGATTTGAGCTGAAAATGCCCTTCAGGACCACGGCACAGCAGGTGTCACAGAGGCAAACAAGCAGAGACATCAGCGGTGGTACGGTGTGAGACTCAAACTCACAGACCGCCTGTGTCAACAAGCTTGTGAACACAAGACGTCGGTGTAGGGAAATACAGAACCCGAGGCAAATTAGTATCTTAAAAATGATTTTGTGTTCGATCAGCCAAAAAAAACAGAAGCCGAAGGTACATATAGCATCATCAAACAAAGACGGATGCCAAGAGACCAAAAGTTAGGACAAGCAAGAAACAAGTCAGGCCCAAAACTAGCTATGCTAGTACATTATAGACGCAAACATACACAAACAGACTCTTAATGAACTATAATATCACTTAATATAACCTTTGCTGAGTAATTTAACTGAAATTAGTTAAACTGATGAAATTTTCAGCTAGCACATCTGGTTTAATGTCGTTTGAAGGTAACACTATTGTCCTCTTGAGTACTGAGGTTGGTTGCTGCCACAGTAGTACAATAAGAGGGCTGCTAACTTGCAATACATAAAGTGTACAGTTGCATACTTTCAAGCACTGTGACTGGAATGAGATATCTTCTCAGATAGTGGTGGGCAGAGGATCTGTTTGTAAGCAGGGTGTCCTTTCTCTTGTTCCCTGAAGCTTGTAGCTGAGTTAAGAGGGATTTTTCACTGAGACAGACAGAGACATAGAAAGTGGAGAGACTGAAAGAACTCCACACATATAGTGTGCTGTGGACGAGCAGGTCTCCAAACACCTGGTAAGACAAACCGAGCTGTATTTCCAATTGAAACGAACAGAGTTAAAGGGCTTGTCTCTTACTCAAAGGCCCAATCCCAATTCTGTTTTATTCCCCTTCCCCTACTCCTCCGCCTACCCCTTCCCCTTGTCCCTTGAAACAGTGTCAAGGTGTAGGGGTGAAAATATTCCCCTAAAAATTGGGACACCACTACTATACGTCACATGAAACTTGTCAACGCTGCCCCACGACTTTTATTAATAACAGTTTAAATACTGAATCGCTACATTATATTTTCCAGCAACGAGAGGATAAAATCGCTGTTTTTGAAGTAAACTCTAAAAAGAGAAACGCACAGATGAGCATACACGCAACTTTCATCTCTCTCTCTCTCTCTCTCTCTCTCTCTCGCTCTCTCGAATTGGCAATATTTGAGAAAAGGGTTTAGCAATTTCTAATTATTGGGGGTACTATCCCCCCTCAATGTTTACAGTGGTTATCGCCCTGATCAGACATGAAAATATGTTGTGGCACTATCAGTGCAGTCTATAATGATATGACGTTAGTTAGCAAATATTAGCGATTTTTTTGCAAACATTTCTTTGAGTAACATGACCGTAAATATGAACTCACGATTGAATGTAACAAAACAAATGATTACTTTTCGTTAAAATCTTTATTAATGCCAGAAATGCTTACATTTATGTGTCTTTTTGTTCGCTCGGGCAGCCATGTTGCTGAGATAATTCATACCCCTTCGTTTGAAGTGTGGTCCTGAAAAATCTTCGTTTGAAGGGCTATCTAGGCCTACCCCTACCCCTCCAACCAAAAGAGAATTGAGACACCCCTACCCCTTCACGTGAACGCGCGAAACGGAGGGGTAGGGGAAAGGGGAAGGGCTAAGGGGTAGAATTGGGATTGGGCTTAAATAGCCAGTAGCATTTTGTTTACATCACAGCCTGGCAAAATTACACTTAAAATACCACAATTGATGGTTAAGGAAATAAATAAAATTAGCATTAGCAATTTGCTACTTGCTATTGCTAAAAAGAGGCACGTACATTTGAGGGAGGAACATTCTCAGCCTAGATGTAGATTTTTACCCAAATAAAATCTCTCATTTAAAAGTATTTTTGGTTAGAAATGAAATTATTTTAAGTGTACTAGCGTATAGTTAGCCTTGAAGCTAACAGAAGCTGACTGAAAGCTATAAAACTCTTTTTGATTTGATGGGCTCTCCAAATATCACCTAATCTCAGCCTCTGTTACGACTTATGAAATGGGTGCCGCATATGTAGCGGTAGAATGTCTTTAAACACCAGGCTCTTCACGAAAATCCTTTTTGTGTCTCATCACCAAAAGTGATTATGGGATATATTACCTCTGCTCTGTTTTGCCTCCCTTTGGGAGGAAAAGCTTGATAGACTGATATTTCTTCATATTTCAAGGCCAAGTGTTGAGCTAGATTGTATGATTGGGTTGTTGTGTGAGATCTGTACCCATCATGCTGCGATGATGACTTCCTGTTTCTCTTCCCAGCGGTGGGACTCTGCTGACGATCAGCGGCACCAACCTGGCCACCATTAAAGAACCCAAGATCCGTGCCAAGTACGGCTCTGCAGAGTCTTTCCATGTAAGTATTCCGTTTCCTTGTCCTTTCCTGATTTCTTCACTTTCCACGTCTCTGGGCTCTTCCGTACTTTTTACTAATGTTCATTTCACAAAAGCTTCCACATGTTCTCCTGCCGCTGTGTTGCTTAAAGGACTCTGTAACAGCGACACACAATCCTAACCAGCATTTTTATCGCGAGAAAGGTCACTGAAGTATCTTGTGTCGCTCTGTTATTTTCTTTTTATACATTTCTTTTCCTCACAGTCTCAGTGTTTATCATAATCGCATTAAAATGTTTTAATGTAACATTAGAATTATCTGACGTGCCTTCTGCTGTCACAGTACATAATTTGTGTCCCATTTAATTGTAATTAGGGTCAATCAATTAAATATTGTAATCAAATTATTTACACAAAATATGTAATGCAGATAATGTTTTGCATTTAAATTATCACATTTATTTATTTATTTATTCATTTACCCTGAGAATGACCAAAGATAGAAATAATTTAAATACATTACATTACTTTGCAGATAAATAAGACATTCAAAAGAAAGTGGTTCTAAAAATGAACAACAACAACACAATATTATTATTATTATTAATAATAATAAATGTTTATTATTTAAGTAGTCAGTCAAATATTAGAATTAAATAAATTGCACATTTTATGTAATGCAAATAATGTAATGCATTTAAATTATATAATTTATGTATTTAGGAAGTACATGTATTTATATATTTATTTTTATAATTTTCTTTTTGTTGTTGTTTATTTGTCAATGTATATCGTTTTCATATAATTATGATTATTTCTTATTATTAAAAAAATATAATGTATACTTAATTTTTATAAGTAAATGATTACGTTTATTTGACACTCGACATAATAAATGTTGTTTTAAAAAAAGATTTATTCAGTTTTGTCTCCCTGTTTTCCTATTCTACTCAGAACTGCACGGTTTTCAACAACTCCATTATGGTCTGTCTGGCCCCGTCGCTGGCAGATTCAGATAGAGGCTTTGCTGAGACTGGCAGCGGACCGGATGAGATCGGCTTCTACATGGATAACGTCCACGCCCTTGTGGTCGTCAACGAGAGCTTCAGCTACTACCCAGACCCCGTCTTTGAACCCCTCAGTCCCACAGGCATTCTGGAGCTCAAACCAACATCTCCCCTCATCCTGAAGGTGCACATCTCTTGCTTCAAGTGGTTGATGGATCTGTGGTTATTGATGTGAGGTTTATGTGGCCAATTTGAGTTTGCGTCATTTGCTGATCATGTTGCCACTTATTCTGCCCATATTTTCCTTTCCTGAATAAAAGCTGCAGAAGGACACTGCACAATAGCTACAGTAATAACTAAGTACGAATCTGTCTTCTCCATACGTACCACTTCTTCTTCATCCCTTGGTTCATAAACATCAAAATGCTGATCTCAGACACCGGCTGGTTTCTTCTGTAATGAAAGCTTCTCTTTTCTTTAAACCAACCTCGAGAGTTGAAGCATGTTGGGTGATATTTCTTTGTTAAATGGAAATTTATTAACGAAACCTTTTTACGTAATGCCCGATCCCCTGCCTGGCTTATTGGGGGGGGGGACGGTGCATTAGTAAAGTGAGGGAAAATACGAAAATGCAATTTGGTGAAATAATCAGGGATATTCTGGAGATGCATCACATTCTCCACGCAATTAATTTCTCATCTAATTTGATCTGGGGTTGGCGGCATGGATGAGATGAGAGAGAGAGGGAGCGGAATTTGCATTAAAGAGCGTCGTGCCGTGGCCACGCTGAACCCTGAGGGGGGGGGGGGGGGACTAGGGGGGTGTTGGTGCTTTGCTGTTATTCATCAACATTTCTCTTTCCTGTTCTTTCTGTCTATGTGGCCGCAGAGTATTCCGACCTTTATCTTCCTTCCTGTTTATCTCCATTGAGGAGATCAGTTGCAGGATATGTTCATATCTTTTCAAGCCTTTGGGGTTTTCTTTGCTTTTTAAAAATCAATATCTACATGACCTTTACGTGTCCAAGGTTGTGTGATGCTAATTTGAATTCAGGCTAACAGACTATTACTATTATCTGGAAAACCCATTCCCACACCTTAAAGGAATATTTTAGATATCTATAGACATTCTATAAACATATTTGCCCTGCCAACATTTTCACTGTTGCCAACACAAAAAATATGATTATTTAAATGTATGATTTTATAGTTTTTTTTTTAATTATTGTAAATGTATAATTTTCATGTGTAGCATATATTTATTTTTAAAATTATTTATATGTAATTTTGTATATTTTGTAGTGTGTATACAAATACAAATAGAATATAATAATATTCAAATATAATATATAATCAGTTTTATATTTCTACATTTGTGACCCTGCCTGTGAAAACCCAGCTAAAGTATTTTTTTGTGTGATTTACTGTTCATCTTTCATTAAGATGTAGAACTTTCTGTTAAAATATAACCTTTATATCTTTAATATTGACTGAGTAAGGCCATGTCAAAGATTGAAATCATAGTGAAATGAATGGTTGAAATCAAACTTTGATGCTTGTTATCTCATAATTAGATTTTGAGACTTTAGCCTGGATTTCACAGACAGGGTCACATTTTCTAATTTTAGAGTATACAATGTTTATTTATAGTAATAATGTAAATAGAAAATGATAAACTTCAATTAATATTTTTGTGTATATAATAATTATATATCATAATTATATTTAAATGAAATATTATACTTTTTCACATAAACTCACGAACTACTTAAATTCCCAACAAATACAGTTTTTTTCCAAATAATAAAAAAAAATATATGTATTTTATAATGTGTATGTGCGTGTAACATTTATATATACACACACACGCAAGGTAAAATAATATATACAAATAATATAAACATTACAATTTTAATTTAATAAATGTGTATTTATGACAATAACAATAATAATAACAATAAATGCAAATCTAAAATTATAACCTTAAATTCATTTTTATATCATATATACTGTACTGTAATTATATTTATATTAAATATGATACTTTTCCCACATAAATTACTTGTTGCCAACAAATACTGTTTTCTTAAATATTGCTTATTGTAATTTTTGATGGAAATTATAGTTATTAGCATAGTCGATGCTTTTAAATGTTACATGACAAAGCTCTGTTGAGAATCATGAGGATACAATTTTTTATGTTAAAACAATTTATGTTAGTTATATTTTATTGTTCCTTTTCATATCTGATAATATCTCTTTTCTCCATTTTTTGTCATTACAGGGTCGTAATTTGATTCCTGCCGCACCCGGTAACTCCAGGCTTAACTACACAGTGTTTATCGGAGAGACACCGTGCGTTCTGACGCTCTCTGAGACCCAGTTGCTGTGCGAGTGGCCCAACCTCACCGGCCAGCACAAAGTGACGGTATGTACTTAGAACCTCAAGTTCACACTGACCAAATGTCAAAAGATTGGAAATGACAACTCGCTTTCAGAAATGAACTTAACACCAACCGAATGCCCCGCTGAAGGAAAATGTCTTGAAAGGACACTCTTTATCTCGCCACAGCATGTCATTCGTTGTGATGGCTCTGAAAGTGAAATGCTCCGAGAAGAAAAATATTCACGCCTGTTTTCTGCATTTGTATTACTTTTGCGGCAAATGTCACATTGAATTCGGAGAAATTGTGTGAAATATATGTTTGTACAAATGCTCTTTGAAAAATGCTGGTTCGTCTATTTAGACGTGTCTCTTTGCGTGGCCGTCCTCGTGCAGCACTCAGAGGCGATGCGAGGCGAGCCCGAGACGCAGACACAGCTGTGCTCTTGTCCTGTGTACAGTGACCTAGTTATGAGCCGCCCTTTGTGCACTGGATCACGTCTGGCAGCTCTTAGTGTGTGTGATTCCTGTATCTTTTGGCCTGTATGTGAGAATTAGAGAGTGTGTGTGTGTGTGTGTGTGTGTGTGTGTGTGTGTGTATATGGGTGATGATATGAGTGTGTTCGTCACACAGCTGTGCAATGACCACCATGACCCCTGTTAGACAGAGTCTCTCTAGAAAATTTTGCATGGCTGGGATCTTTGACCCCATGCTTTCCCAGGGGTCCCTGTAGTTTTTGTAGACAGCGCACAATGCCTGCGGTGCAGTGCATACAGTCACGTAATATCTACACTAGAGTTCTCTTGAAGTTCAATTCCAAATATTTATGTTAGCGCTGTTTGCTGAAGCATTTTGCTGTATTTCCACACCTCTAACTCGATGTAATGAACTTTGTGCATAATTTATTTTTAAATGAATGATACCTCAAATTGTGTGAGTTGTTGAAGAGAGGTGTGATTTTATTTTCATATTAATTATGTGATTATTCATTACTGGAATTTACGTTCGGGTCACAGGTTAATTGCTTTATAAAATGTATTAATAATGAATTATACTAAATTTGTTAAATTGATATATATGCAGTTTATTTTATCTAAGTGTTTGTCCTTGATTTTCATCTACTAGATTATAAAATGGATAAAATATCCCATAGACTTATTAATCAAAATTATGCCCTCTAAGCAGTTCTGTGTAGATTACTTGCAAATTGTAGTCCATTACGGATTCTCATTTACATGACAAAAATTGTAGTTAGTGACGTAATACATTAAAATACATATTTCAGGTAACAATTCATCGTTATTAACAACGTGAAGTACATTAAACATTATATTACGTCAAAGTTTCCTGGGGTTCGTGAAGGAACTGCAGAGGGTTTGTGTGTTAAATGAAAAGCTAATAATGGAATAAATCATATAAATGTAAAATCAAAATAAATCTTTTTAAAATTACAATAATCATAATAAAACACTTCATAAAAAATATGAAATATTATACCTGTTTATCTGCATGTCATATGACCATGCAAATAATATTTAATCAATAAAAAAGTAACTGCAATCTGATTACAAGTATTTTAAAATGTAATATCATCTAATTACAAGTACTTAATTTTTGGAACCTGATTATATAATCCAGATTACATGTAATCAGTTACTACCCAGATTTTACTAGGACTAAGCAATGCCAGTTTTATTGGACAAATATCCTCAGATTTTCTTTAGAAAAAAAAATTATCGTCATCTTTTCAACGTTGAACTATTCTGGTGTACAAACGCGTTTATGGTTAAAACAAACACCTGGACACTGTGTGGATTGATTTTTGCCAAGACTGTGTAAACAACCACACGGTTTCTGGATCGTTTCAAGCAAATACAAGCTTGAAATGATCCAGTAATAATAGGACATTTCGGGCTAAATGGGTTTTCAATCTCTTAGCTTGTCTCACAAATGTGATTGGCTCGTAAAGTTTTAATTTGGGTCTTTGTGTAAAGCTGAATTTGCATTTTTGAAGCAAAAAGTCGATTCTCACAAATGAATTACCACAACAAAATTATGAATGCTAATCACATCTAATTGCAGATCACAGGCCACTACACAAGATTTGCTTCCTGTACCTCATTGAGCCGGGTCTCCCATGCCTCTGTTACAGATCCGGGCAGGAGGGTTCGAATATTCCCCCGGCACGCTGCAGGTCTACTCCGACAGCCTTCTCACCCTGCCTGCTATCATCGGGATCGGAGGAGGTGGAGGCCTCCTGCTGCTGGTCATCATCGCTGTGCTCATCGCCTACAAGCGCAAGTCCCGGGACGCAGACCGCACCCTCAAACGACTCCAGCTGCAAATGGACAACCTGGAGTCTAGAGTCGCTCTCGAATGCAAAGAAGGTGAGATTCATTATTAGTAAGTCGTATATCATTTAGGGCTTGGTCAATGCATTCCCAAACTGCATCTTAGTGCAGCTGCCTCTTTTTATACAACAACAAAGTTGTCAATCATTTTGTTTAACCAGCTTAATTATGTGATTTTAAGTTATTATAGAATTTATGTACAGGTCAGACACAGACTAACTGCTGTAAGTTTATTTGTAATTGTTTATAATTAGTGTACATAAATTATACAGTTAACATTGATTGATTTATTTATGAGATTTTAATAAATAAATGTATTAGGGTGAACTAGTTAAAAAAAAAAATACAATAATAATAATAATAATAATAATATATATATGTATATATAAATATATAATTTAATATTTTATTTATTTACACATACATATCACACACATATATATATATATATATATATATATTATATATATATAATTTTGTAAGCTTTTACACCTTCTCTGTTTCTCTCTGTATATTTATGAATTGTTTTATATAAAAGGCACATTCTAAGATAAACGTCCCCATTAGAGAACATGAATTTCATAGAGAATTTAAATGGCTGTTGAAGTGAAACCTGCGGGTCTAATATCAAGCTCCACATTAGTGCCTTTCCGTTCTCTTGTCGCCGTAGTGACACCATTATGGTTGTTAGCATGTCTTGGTAACAGGTTGGTGTTAGTGGGCTGTGCTGTTATGGCATTCGGTCTTCTGCCCAGTTTGAAATGTAGTTCCCATATGCCGTAAAGGTTCCCAATGCCTCTAACTGGTCTCGTAGAGATGCACTGGGTGTAATTGGCCATTATCTTAGGTTTGTCGGCTCTCTGGTCACAACCCTGCCAAAAACATGACGTGGCTAGCTAGCTAACAAACAGTCTTTCACCGCAAAGGGGGAGATGGCTGAATGGCAGAGGGAGAATGATGAAAGAAATGTACTACTTGCCAAATGGGTGAAGGAACTGGTAGGCATTGATTAGCTGTCACGTTCTTTAGCCCTGATTCTCACTGATTGGCCGACTGCCTTCATTAGTGGACAACCTGAACAGTTTGTTATCGCGATGCCCTTCAATCTGCCCATCAATATTTTATTTGGATCATATGCGCTGACATTATTTACAACCTCTGCAAAATATTTATGACCTTAGCTTGGTTATTTCTCGTTTGGGCTGGGAGTGGATTTGCTTGGTAATGACCTGAAGCTCTCAAACCCGTGATCTGTCCAACCCAGTGAGGCCAACAGGGTTAGATAATGGACTGCAAAAGAGTGAATCTCACAAAACCTGTCAAGAAATGGCATATTTTACACCAAATACAATTTGGGATAAAGAAAAGTTTGTTTTATTACATTTTATATAATATTTTAATGGTAAAATTGTTTTATAAAATATATGACAGTAAAATCAGTTATTTTTGCATATTTTACAGAATTAGTGCATTAGAGCAATGAAAATGATCGGAGCAGTTCACGGTTTTTTAGGACCATTGAAAAACAATGGGCTGCAAAAGGGTGAATCTCAAAAAATCCCATCAAGAAATGTCATATTTTACACCAAAATCACACGATATATGTGTGTGTGTGTGTGTGTGTGTGTGTATGTATATCCTCTTCTTGCCATGTATCATGAAATTTACCCAAATGTATAAATGCCCTCTAAATGGTTCAAATCTGCGATCCCCGCTTCGCCTCTAGTTTGGCTGTATAGCATACAGTGACAGTCATGCTGGCGCTGCATGTGCATGGTCATGGGGTGTAGACCGGAGAGAGCCATGCAGGGGCATGCGATTCACCATGTGCAGAGAGGCTTACTGAGCCATGATGCAGCCCATCAGAGAGCGCAGTAGTACACACAAAAAAAGGCACGGCTAATTAGCAAGCTATATAGCAAGCTGGTTTAGATACCGGGAAGGCTCAGTGGGAATATCAGCTTCGCCTCTCTGCTTTACATTAGCTGAGAAATGTTAGCGCAAGCACGTGTGGACGTCACGGTAATTGGAATTGTTTCACTTTGAGTGCTTTCACAACTAAAGGAATGATTTTAGAAAGAAACACATTATCAGCAGTGTACAGAACTTTTCAAGCTTGTTTTGACGAACAGCTTCAGCACTAAAGGAAATGTTTTGCTGGCTGACCTTGCCAGTGCTGCTGCTGCTTCCTGAGAGGCGTAATGTTTTGACCACTACAACAGGAAGCCTTTAAAAATTCACATTCAAGTTGTCTGTAATGCCCCCTCGTGCTTTACGATCCTACACGTGCCTCTCCAAGTAATGAAGTGAAATTGAATTACAAGGCCATCCCTCATGTTGGAAATCTTTGTTAGGCCTTTCAAGTGCACTTTGACGAGAAAGAACCATTGAATTAAAGCTCTTTAGGCCTGTCACTTTCTTTCTTGCTTTTTTTTCCGCCGGGAGACTGAAAATCCCGTTGGGGAGTTCATCTTGAATAATATTTGTGTAGTATTTTTAAGATGAAAAACCCTCACTTAGAGTAGGAGCTTCTTGCTTCAGTATTCATATCCCAGCGGACAACGAGGAGGAACAACAGCTGGAGGAAATTATGCATGAAAAGCTCCGCTCCTTTATTAATTACCCACTCATGCAATTAATTGACTTTCTTTTCCCGTGAACTTTGTGTCTCTTACGTCTCTTCCCTCCTGCTCTTTTCGAATAGCAAAACCAAATTAGTCATAAACTGGATAAACAAACAGATTGACAGACTTAGCATTGGTTCTGTTTACCCAGCAAGTATCTATTATTGCACAAGGCTCTCAGTGACCACGTTTTCATGAGTTCCCATTCAACCGCTTTATTTAAATTCATTTTTATTCATACTTAGGGAAGGCTTAAAGCAAATCAAACTTCTATTATGAGATATTTTATTATGCACACAAGTGTATACTATAAATGCACCCTGATCTGATTAAAAAAAAATCTTTATCTGCACTGAAAAACTACACCGGAAATATTTGAGTTGCTTACAAAGACCTATAGCTGGTTGTAAATAGCTTACATAACTGTACATTCATTAATTTGTTCATTCATTCATATTATTTAAATATATATATATTTTTTAAACAACATATTGATGAGTCTGATTTTATTTTATTTCCTTAAATATATATAAATGTACTTTTTTATAAAATATTTTGTAGAAATTTTCAAAATAAATTATTTTTCAGTTAATTAAAAAATGTAATTTTTTTTTAATTAAAACATTTTCATAAAAAAAATGTGTAGTTATGCTATGATCTAAACTCTTTCTTCAGCTTAGAAATTACTCTTTTTGTGTGTGATCTCTGTAAATGTGTGTGTGTATGTGTGCATATATATCTTTTTTTAATTATTTTTTTATGTCCTTATCCAGTCAATACAACTTGAAAAATCAGGGAACTTTTTGGTCAGAATTGGTTGAACTTACCAGTGCTTTTCTCCTCACAGCTTTTGCTGAACTCCAAACTGACATCCATGAACTGACCCAAGAGCTGGATGGAGCGGGCATCCCGTTCCTGGACTACCGAACCTATGCCATGCGGGTGCTGTTCCCTGGCATTGAGGACCACCCGGTGCTCAAGGAGATGGAGGTACGGGTCAGTACATCGCCATCACCATGGTAACCCTAGAGCAGAGCTAACAATGCAATCAAAAAACAGCAGACGACTACTAATACTAGAAACAACAACATAGTATTGAGATTGTATAAACTACATTTGTGCCGTAGGCGCCTGATCAACACTCTTGAAAGGTCATAATGTATATTGTAAATTTGGTTACCAATGTTTTTGACATCACTTGCTTCTGATAAATGGGGTCGGTGACACTCTCAGGAGTGAAAAAAAGAAAGTTTCAACCTACAATTTGGAGTTTACGAGTTCAATGCATTACAGATTGTGACCTCTTACAATAAAGCCAGATGTTAATCACTGACACGTAATAGCACGAGCTAAAGAAAACAACACAACTAAACGAGAGCAATCACGAAACCTCAAAACGCACTGGTCAGCACAATTAAATACTCCATTTCTCTGACATGCTGCGTCCACCGGTCTGCAAATGGCAGGTCACGCTGTTGGCTTGCGGAGGGATCGTTTGTTTATTATTTCATCTGGGGTTTGTTTTCACTGTATTTGCCCCCGAGTCCCCGGCGTAATCAAGTGCCTATGCGCGCAGCTCAGGCCCTTATTGCTCTGTGTAGCTTCTCGCCCCTAAGCAACCTACAGTACAATCGGCCTCCCCGAGAGGCTGCAAATTTCATTCGGCTCAGCAGAGAAGAATTGAGGCACTTTATTAGTCTGTGTTGTCGGAAAAAAAGCCTTTGTCAGGTTACATGGTACACAAGGTGCTGAAGGGGACAATAACAGATGCCGGTTTGCTTTGAAGTCTGATTCCGGCATCCTCGCTTGGAGATTTTATTCGTTCGTTTTTGTTTTTCATAATTTCTTTGAATTGTAGCACTTTGTCCTATCTAGCCGTGAAAACTATCCAACAACAATGTGAGATAATTACAGCCAAATTGTACATGTGGAGCAGAATTTTGCACCAGTGAGATTTCACTGTGGGCGGGGCTATTCAGTAGACAATGCTGTGGAAACCAAACGAACGACAATGTCCAGTAGCTTGTCGTGGATAGTTAGGACACATGTAAGATGTTGCTTTTGTTATCTTAGTATAAATATGTGGCTTCAAGAAATTGTACAGGTAAGATGTGTGAGAGAGCGAGGCAGATGAAAAGTGACAGGTGCGGCTCATGGAAGAACACATCACCACCTTTCGCTCCTGGACTCCGAGGTCGCGTCTGCTTCCTGCTGTACTCTTTCTCTCTCTCTGTCCTTCCTCGCCCTCACTCTGCATTTCCTTCTGTTGTGTTTTGAGCTGCTAGCATCTTGGATTCCCTTTGATGTCAATCAGAAAGCTGCATGTCCCTCATGTGGACTTCTGCCGGAATGCTGTTTATTTTACTAAAGGGCTTCGACACTGTTTCAGAAAGGCAGAATGCATCAATCAAAAATATTAAAAGCAACATAAATTCGAAATTGACCTTGCTATCTTTAAATATTTCACTAGTCTTACTGTGCACGACAGATCACTTTTAACTTTTAAATAATAAAATAAATCTTAAATAATAATAAAAAAAAAAAAAAATCTTAAATAGCTCACTTTTTTAACTCTACAATCACTTTTTTTGTTTGTTTTTTTCAGTAATTCATATTTTTCCCCTCAGAAATATGTCAAATTACACAGGTTTAATGCAAATGAAGCTTCATGTTGTCCTCTTCTGCTTTTGGTCGGTTAAAAAAGATTGTCATGCTCCCCAAATTCATGCCATTTATTAAGCCAGTGTTGTTGTATCAGGACCTCAAACCAGTCACACAATGGGCCTCCAGCATGAAACACAAACAGAACTAATTTGTGTCAATCATGAAATTGTGTAAGTAAATAGTAATATAAATGGATCAGTTCAGGGCAACAATGTAGGTGTGAACTCTTTTAAGAGTCAAGAGGCATTTATTTATCATTCGCATAGTTAACACTGGGGAAAACTGGGCACTGTAACAATAACAGGACCATACATAAAAAAAAAATTGAATAGAAAAATGTACATATACAGATATAGACGTACGTGGAGGGCACTGAGATATTGAGTGACTTAAGTGACCATAGGCAGAACAATAAACGCAGACAGAGCAGTAAATACAAATAAGTGACAGTAACAGATACAATAAGGGTAGACCGTGTTAAGAGTTTTAAGTAGTCCTGAGGTACTGATTTAAGAATATTGGGGTAGAGCAGTGTCCAAAATGAAAGAAAATTAAAAGTGGCAGTGCAAATACAATAAATAATAAACTTAAGAGCAGCACGTATTCCGATTTAGTATTTCCGGGTAGAGCAGTAACCAAAAAGTCATTGTAGAGTGTCGCAGAGCTACATGAAAAAAAAAAATATTAAAAGTGGCAGTGCAAGTACAATAAATAGTAACTTAAGAGCAGCATGTATTCTGGTTATAGCTGGCTGTTAAGCAGTCTGATGGCTTGAAGATAAAAGCTGTTCTTCAGTCTGGTTGTCCGTGATCGGATGGATCGTAAGTGTCTGCCAGATGGCAGTAGGGATGCAGCGATTAACCGGTTTCACAATTAACCGCGCTTTAAAATGTCGTGGTTAATTAATCATAAAGCCTCCACTACACCGAGTGTTTCTGTTGCACAGAACGGAACAGTTGCAACATGCGCAAAATGAAAACAAAGTTACAATAGCGGTGCGCCAACTTAAAATACTGTGCTTATCAGAGACACGGAGGCTACTACACACACAAGATTTACTACAGAGGAACCAAACAGCGATCTTTTATTTCCACCAGAGTAATGACTGAAGGTCGATAGTGTGGGACCATGTTGGGTACACCAAGAATGACCAGGGTGTCATTTAAATATTGCCGTAAAAACTGCTGCTAAAGAGCAAAGACAATGCGGCTTTAAACTATTTTAATGCACGACGTGAAGGCAAGACTGACGTATTCTGCCTACTTCAGATCAGAAAGATGAAATAGTGGGATAAGATCGCATTTATTTGAATTAATTAATTATAACATTTAGCTACTTGAATTAATTATTCGATCGAGAGAGAGAAGTGTGTGTGTGTGTGTGTGTGTGTGTGAACCTGCGTCAGTCGTCTCTCTACAATGTAGCAATTCAGTATCTAAGCTATTTTATTAATAAAAGTCACAGGGCAGGGTTCACAACAAGTTTGTGCCCTCCTGAATGTTTGTATGTGTGCGCAGCGCGATCTCCGATCTCTCAAACCAAAATAATAGACATGATTTTCTCAGGCCACATGTAAAATCATATGAATTATTATAAAAATGTATAAAATGAATACGTATGGATGACCGTTGATTACAATGATAGTTCAGTTTATTCCCCTCATTATTAATAGTTTCCCCTGTGGGATAAATAAAGTTAATAGCCCTATATTAATAATACTTATTAACATTGTTGTATATTATCCCTTTTTATAGTATTATGCATAAGTCAAAAACCAACAAGATTTTTTTTTTCAGCATGTTTCCAGTTTTCTGCCTCAGGTCCAAAAGAAATGTAAATAATGTACAAACTGAAAACACTAAATATTTTTGTGATCTATTTTCATTAGTTATTTTCAAAAGGCAAATACTGACATGGATGTTTACAGAGCAGAGGTCACCTTTTTAGTTCCAATTGGAGAGATAGACATTTGTTTGTCTTTATTATTATTATTTTGTGCTGTATTATTGGTTACTGTGTTATTTCTGTTTCTAAAGGCAGCAATAAAAAAACACTTTATTATATAAAGAGTGTCCATGTGATTTTATACATTGATAATTTTGTGAAATGAATAAATGCATAATAATCGTGAAACCGTCATTATTCCGCAGACAATAATCGTACCAACAAAATCTATAATCATTGCATCCCTAGATGGCAGTGTGGCAAACAGATGATGAGTAGGGTGAGTGCGGTCCTTGATAATCCTGCGAGCCTTTCTCAAGCAGCGAGTTTGATAGATGTCCTATAAGGCTGGGAGTTTATGTCCAATGATGAGCTCTGCTGTTCTCACCACTCTCTGAAGAGCTTTGCGGTCGAAAGAAGAGCAGTTGCCGTACCATACAGTGATGCAGCTGGTCAGAATGCTCTCTATAGTGCAGCGGTAGACATTTGACATGATGTTAGAGGAGATGCCAAACCTCTTCAGCCTCCGCAGGAAGTAGAGACGCTGACGGGCTGTTCTCACTATGGTCTCTGAGTGTAGGTTTCAGGAAAAATCCTCAGAGATGTGAATGCCAAGGAACTTGTAGCCCTTAACTATCTCTACTTTCTCTCCATTGATGTGAATGGGAACTTGCCCATCTCTCTGTGACTTCCTGTAGTCCACGATCATCTCTTTGGTCTTGCTGACGTCTAGAGAGAGATTGTTATCAGCACACCATGCTGTGAGTGCATTCACCTCATCTCTGTAGGATGTCTCATCACCGTTAGTGATGAGTCCTAGGATAGTTGTATTGTCAGAAAATTTGAGGATGATGTTGTAGCTATGCTTAGCAGAGCAGTCGTAAGTGAACAGGGAGTACAAGAGAGGACTGAGTACACATCCCTGTGGGGCACCAGTGCTGAGTGTGAGTGAGGAGGATGTGTGGTTGCCAATTCTAACCACCTGGGGTCTGCCGGTCAGGAAGTCCAGGACCCAGTTACATAAGTGACTGTTAAGACCCAGATCTTTCAGTTTGGCTATGAGTTTGGTAGGGATGATGGTGTTAAATGCAGAGCTGTAATCAACAAACAGCATCCACACATAGGTGTCTCTTCCCTCCAAGTGTTCCAGGGCAGAGTGTGTGGCCATTGCGATGGTGTCATCAGTGGATCTGTTAGACCGGTAAGCAAATTGGAATGGGTCCAGGGTGTCAGGTAGAGAGGAGCTGATGTGGGATTCGACTAGACGTTCGAAGCACTTCATGATGACTGATGTCAGTGCTACAGGGCAGTAGTCATTCAGACAGGAGACAGTTGTTTTTTTTTGGGAACAGGGATGATGGTAGTTTGCTTGAAGCATGTGGGGATCACTGTTAGTCTCAAGGAGAGTCTCTTATGCCTCTTATGCTCACCAAGGCTGCATTTATTTAACTAATTTTACAAATTAGTTACACTACAGTTCAAAAGTTTGTGGTCAGGTAGATTTTTAATTTTTTGAAAGTAGTTATATACTTTCATTTATCAAGGACACATTAATTTGATCATTAGTGTCAGTAAAGATATTTATCATGTTATTTCTATTTCAAATAAATGATGTTCTTTTGAACTTTGTTCATCAAATAAACCTGAAAAATGTATCATGGTTTCCACAAGATATTAAGCAGCACAGCTGTTTTAAACATTGATAGTAATGAGAAATGTTTCTTCAACAAAATATCAGCATATTAGAATAATTTCTGAGGGATCATGTGACACTGAAGACTGGAGTAATGATGCTGAAATTTCAACTTTGCATCACAGGAATAAATTACATTTTTAAAATACTCAAATAGAAAACAGTTATTTTAAATTGTACTCATATTTTACAATATCACTGTTAACTGTATTTTTGGTCAAATAAATGCAGCCTTGGTGAGCATAAGAGGCATAAAAATCACATTGAAGATGATAGATTCTTTTTTGATTTGATCTTTTATCTGTTAATCAAAACACAACACAGCTGTTGTAATTTATTCTGCACTGTATAATGAGTTGCTGTGTGTGTTTTCCCACAGGTGCAGGCTAATGTCGAGAAGGCCTTGACTCTGTTTGGTCAACTCCTCACCAAGAAGCACTTCCTGCTGACATTTATCCGCACGCTGGAAGCTCAGCGCTCCTTCTCCATGCGTGACCGTGGCAATGTGGCATCACTCATCATGACAGCTCTACAGGGAGAGATGGAGTACGCTACAGGAGTCCTCAAACAGCTGCTCTCTGACCTCATCGACAAGAACCTGGAGAGCAAGAACCACCCTAAACTGCTGCTCAGGAGGAGGGAGAAGACACACACACACACACACACACACACACTCTCACACACACACACACACAGAGTCACACTGATATACAGAGTTAAGGCCTGTTCACACCAAGAACGATAACTTTAAAGATAACTATATCAGCAACCACACCAGTGCACGATAATGTTCTGTTTATCATAAGTGCGCACTGGCATTTTGTCTGCCACTTTAATTACTCAAGCTCTTTAAAGCAGAACAGATTGTGATTGGCTGTCAGTCAGCTAAAAAAATGTTTTGTAAGTGAGTCTGACTATATAATTCCTCTGTTATTGTTATAGTTACAGTGTGAAATTCCCTATTCTCATAGAATCATAACAATTATTAAACTTTATACTTATTGCCATAGTTATCTTCCTTTGTGTGATCGGGCCTTTAGCCACTGAAATCCAAAGTTGTTTCGTTACAGTTACTCTTAAAGCTACAGTTGCAAAAACAGCCTGTTTCAAAGTGTCATTGAGAGGGTAGAAATAATGTAAAAATAAATCACAACAAGAAACCTCGACTAACATAAGTAGACTTATAATGCCACAAAAATCCCAGCTTGGAAATACCACCTCAAAATTTCTCCATTACTCTCAGAAGTTCATGTAAGTCAATATCCTCCATCTCACCCCACTGTCGACCCTGGTCTAGTGCACTTACTGAAGTATGCTAATGAGCTATTCGGGACACTTCCCCCTCATGAAATACCTGTTGTCCCAGTCCATTCACCTTATCTCCCTTTCACCATTTTATTAATGAGCATATAATTTAATAATAGGCCCTTATGTAAGCAAGTAATGGGAGTTGGTAAGTCTATGTGAATGCATTATTGAACAGCAGAAAAGGCTCCTGGTGGGCCTGAGGGAGGAAGGAGCCGCAGTTAGCAGCTCGCACTAGCAGTTGCTCTCGTTTGCCAGCTGCAGATGAATTAGGAGCTTTGAAGTTCATTAATTACGGCATGCTTTAATTACTTCTGTTCTGGGGAAGCTTTTGGGGGTCTTCGGCTGGCGACAGGTTGGTCATTAATGGAAGATGTTGACCAGTTACTGTAATTGTCTGGTCTTAATGAAGATTGGTAGTTTGTTTTGGAAAAAAAAGTGTAGTTTTTCATTGGAAGGAGTTTTTGTTTGTTTGTTTGTTTGAGAAAGCTTTTATACACTTTTGGGTTTTATTTGTGTTGTATGAATTTTGATTCATATTTTTTCTCACTCTCACTTTTCCTTTGTCTCTTTTAGGACCGAGTCTGTTGCTGAGAAGATGCTTACAAACTGGTTCACATTTCTTCTGTACAAGTTCTTAAAAGTAAGTGTGTACAGTATTGTTACTGATAAGACTGCATTGTGTCCAGCAATAATGATAATATGACATGTTTCTTGAGCAGCAAATCAGCATATTAGAATGATTTCTGATGGATCATGTGACACTGACGACTGCAGTAATGATGCTGAAATTTCAGCTTTGCCATCACAGGAATAACATTTGTTTTAAAATATATTAAAATAGAAAACTGTTGTGATGATATTGCACAATATTACTGCTTTTACTGTATTTTTGATCAAATGAACGCAGCCTTGGTGAGCATAACAAAAATCTCATTGACCCCCAAACTTCTGAATGGTGCACCATTATATTTTGCCTGAGTTGTGAGTTTTCACAGTTTGATTCACAAGTCTGATCAACAACTGACTCATGTTAGCCAGTTCTTGTAATGAATCTTTCAAAAAAACAACAGTTTTGAATCAGTTTGATTTGTTTAAATCAGTCTAACAGATCACTCTGAATCCATATTTGTTTTATAAAAGGATATTTGACCCAAAAGTAGAAGTTCTGTCATTGTTTACTCACTCACATCTGTATGACTTTCTTCTGTGAAGCACACATTATGATATTGTCCATACAATGAAAGTTAACAGTGTTGTTTTAGACCCCATTGACTTCAATTTTATGGACAAAAACATTTGAAACTTTTTTTCCAAAATATCGTCTTTTGTGTTCTGCAGAAGAAAAAAGTCTTGCATGTTTTAAACAACATGAGGGTGAGTAAATGATAACAGCATTTTCATTTTTGTGTAAAGCGTGTAATTACTCACTCCTGAAAAACAAAAATGCACCCTAACACATACAAAAGCACAAAATTGAGCTTGTCTTTATTTTGCAAGAATAGAGTGACCAGAGGGCCTTTCCACAACAAGGTCCAACATGATGTGACAAATAATGAGACCGAAGCTGTCTGTCAGTGGTCGGGCAGGTCAGAGGTCATCCCTTCAGACACCTCTGCATCCTAGTCTCCATCAGCTCTTAGCTCCAGCTCCTTTATATACTCCTGTTCTCTGCTTCCCCCCCCTCCATCCTGCTTCACTCCATGACGCTACTCACTGAGCGTGATTGAGCTGCAGGATGTCAGTCCTCCCCTGTTTGTCTCTTTCTCACTCTCGCGTTTGCAGCTCTCTGGTTTTATTAGTTTAATCATGCAGGGCTCAGCACGCAATGGAAGAATTTTAATCAACAGGAAACGGGAGTCCAGAATACTTTCACTTCATAGAGATTCATTTAACGATGACACAAATTGAACGTGCTTTTGCATTATTTGAGAACATTGAATGTAGTTGCTTGTAAAGGAATAGTTTGCCCAAAAAATGAAAGTTGTCATTATTTGTTCACAATACTAATTTAAATTCTCTACATTTATGTGTAAAACACTAATATTGTGAAATAGTATTACAATTTAAAATAATCTGTTCTATTGTAATATATTTTAAAAGGTAATTTATTCCTGTGATACAAAGCTGAATTTTCATCAGCCATTACTCGAGTTTTCAGTGTCACATGATCCTTCAGAACTCATTCTAAAATGCTGATTTGCTGATCAATAAACATTTCTTATTATTATTCATGTTACAAACAGTTGTGCTACTTAATATTTATGCAGAAACCATGATATACCATGATGCGTGCGTGTTTAAAGTTCAGCAAATATGCATTCAATTGCTCAAAATTGATAGTAAAAACATTTATAATGTTACAAAAGATTTATATTTCAAATGCTGTTCTTTTGAACTTTCTATTCATCAAAGAACCCTGAATGTTTCCACAAAACAGCAACACTGTTTTTAACATTGATAAGAATAAGAACCATTATTAATAACTGAGAACCAATAACAATTATGCAGCAAATTCACATATTAGAATGATTTCTGATCATGTGACACTGAAGACTGGAGTAATGATGCTGAAAATTCAGCTTCGCATCACCAGAATAAATTACATTTTAAAATGATTTAAAATAGAAAATAGTTATTTCAAAATGTAATATTTCACAATTTTACTGTTATATTTACTGTATTTTTTAATCAAATAAATGCAGCCTTGGTGAGCATAAGATAATTTTTTTATTGTTTCAAAAGTAAAATGTTTCTTCTCTCTCTCTCTCTCTCTCTCTCTCTCTCTCTCTCTCTCTATATATATATTTTTTTTATTTATTTATTTTTTTTATTTATTTATCAGGGGCTCTCAATTCTGGCCCTCAAGGTCCACTCTCCTGTTAGAGTTTAGCTTCAACCTTGAACAAACTCACCTACCTGTAACTTTCTAATGATCCTGAAGACCTTGTTTAACTTGTTCAGGTGTGTTTGTGTGTGTGAACCTCGAGGGCCAGAGTTGAGAACCCCTGATATAGAGATATATAATTGCATGTGAGTGAGGAAAAAAGCAATAGTATGGCTAAAAATGATACATATGTCTTGCAGCAAGAGTATTTTGCCTAATATCTTTTGTGAACTAAGGAATTTTAACAGATTTAGAATGACATGAGGGTAATCTTTTTTTATTTTTGGATGAACTCATCCTTTCAGACCAAATAACCCAATTCCGATTTGCTCGTTTGAAGTCTGTTTCAAGCTTTGACTGTTTACAGGCCTCGTTTGACTCCTCTGATAACTGACAGAAGTTCAGAAGCAGGCAGTTTGAGATCGCTAATTAGCATTAGGAAAAGTGGCGCTGTTTTCGACGGATGGGATTGTGGCGTGAGTTAGTAGAACTGACAAGCTGTTGTCACCAACACACAGCTTGTAATATCACATATGAAGACACGGCTCAGACAGCACAGTTGAAGCAAACTGACACGAATCAAACCTTCCCAGAAATCTTTCTCACAAAGTGCTTTTTTTTTTTTAATCAACATTCTGGCCACAGTGGTGCTTTTGAGCAAAGTCTGCTCAAGGCTGTAGTGTGGAATAATTGATCTGCTAGCTCTGTATTTCAACAGGATATTTTCCTGCTACTGTTCATTAGCCCTATGGGTGGGTGAGGTCTGGCTATGTTGTCTGCGCTCTCTCGCTCTCTTTCTGTCTCTTTCTTTAATGAAGCTGAAGCGTGGGATGAGGTCTGGTCTCCTGGCCGCGTGCGCTGCAGTAGGGGTCTCTAAGAGTGATGTATCCGCGCTCCCTCTCGTTAGCAGCTGTCGACTTAATTAGCGCAGATGCTAACGAGACGTTAACAGCATATGGTAGGAGGGTGGGTGGAGTAAAACAGGATGAAGTGATGGAGGAAACCAGAAGAAACTGTTTCGTGTGGGTATGTGTAAGACGGAGGGAGATGGTGTGTTTCCTCGTTTCACCGTACTCATCATAATCAGTGCGGTCGGGGGTCGGTTGAGGAGGGGTACGTTCCTGATGCGTCTCGCATTGTGACAGCTCACTGTAATTTTTTATGGCTTAGAAGTTTCCTGCATTAGAGCCTGATCAATCTTCTGAAATTATCTCTGAGATTTTGACTTGAAAATGTGAAGCTACAATAAATAAACTTGCTGCCTCAGAAACTAGCGATTAGAAAGATTGTTCACATAGTACCACACAAAATCTGGAGCTACAGTGAAGAAGATTGCTAATTGCTAGCTACTGTCTCAGAAACTCATTACAATTCATTGTAGCTTCAGATTGTAGCTTTGGATCCTTTGTAGCTTCTGGCTCAAAAACTAGCGATTAGTCTAGGGTGACCATACGTACCATTTTCCCAGGACGCGTCCTGGCCAGGATTTCTATATTGCCTAAAATATCTAGGTTTTGGCTTTGTTTGCGTGTGCAGACCGATCGGTGTATGACATCAAAATACCTCGAGAGCATTTTGAAAGCATAAGGAACCGTCTGTATGGCATTTTGATGTCATACACCGATCGTCTGCACACGCAAACAAAGCCAAAACCTAGATGGTCACCCTAGATTAGTCATTGTAGCTTCAGATTTTGCTAATGTATAATTCACACAATATTTGCAATGTGTAATCTGAAGCTACAATGAATAAGCTTGCTAATTGCTAATTTCTGTCTCAGAAACTCGTTACAGTTCATTATAGCTTCAGATTGTAGCTTCAGATCGTTTGCAGCTTTTGCCTTGGAAACTTGCAATTAGCAGGTCTATTCATTGTAGCTTCAGATTTTGTGTGTTAATTCACACAATACTTGCTATATCTGAATCTACAATAATGAATACGTTTGCTAATCACTAGTTTGAGGCAATAAAGCGATTAGCAAGCTTATTTTCATACCACACAAAATCTGAGGCTACAAATAAAACTGCTCATTGTTAGTTTCTGCCTCGGTAAAGTTCCTCAGATTATTTGTAGTTTCTGCCTCAGAAACTTACAATTAGCAGGTCTATTCATTGTAGCTTCAGATTTTGTGTTCATTCACACAATATCTGTTATATCTGATTCTACAAAGATGAATAAGTTTGCAAATCATTAGTTCATACCACACAGAATCTAAGGCTACAAATAAGTTTCTGTCTCAGTACAATTCTTCAGATTATTTGTAGTTTCTTCCTCAGAAACTAGCGATTAGCGTGTTTATTCGTTATAGATTCAGATTTTGTGTGATTGTGTAATTCACACAATGTTTGCTATCTGAAGTGGCAATAAATAAACTGGCTAGTCACTATTTTCTGAGGCAAAAACTAGCAAGTTTATTCACATACCATACAAAATCTGTAGCTGCAATGAAGACTGCTAGTTTATGTCTCAAAAACATTGTAATTCATTGTAGCTCAGAATTTAGGGTGAAGCAAACGTATTCACTGATTTGAAAATCATTTCTAATTTTAAACGTTTTTAGTCTTTTATTCATATTTTATTTAAGCTTTATTTAGTTTTTAGTTTTATTTGGTAGCTATGTCAGTCAGACCAAGTCTCTGAGTGGATGCTAATTGTCCAGAATAAGTCATAATATGAACCGTAAGTCAGACTACATGAGGCTAGTTAACTGCTAATGGACACCTGAATCAAACAGAAACATAAATATGAAGAATTAAGAAACTGAAAAACAGAAAGTTGTGTTAGTCAGTGATGTTAATGCTAATGCAGAAAACAGCCTATCAGTCCACACCCCAGCCATCTCTCTCTCTCTCCACACCTATCCGTTCATTTCACAAAGGGGTTTAAGTGCTTCCTCACAATCGTTAACCTCCATCTATCTCTCTCTCCCTCCCCTGCATTTAAACGGTTTGTCTTTTTCAAGAGGGGCTTTTTGAGGGTATGAGGCTAATGGTTGTATTGATTGGCAAGTCCTTGTGATTATTTGAAAGCGGTGCACCATTATAGCTGCTTGTTTTTCACATCTGAGGTGACAGTTTATCAGTAATCAAGTTTTGCTCAATATACATACCTGAAATGCATTTTATGTCCGTGTGTTACTATGAAAGGAAAGAAGGGCTATTGATTGCATCATCTTTTTGCATCTTTGTCTTTCACTTTTTGAGGTGAAAAAAGTCACAGTGCATGTATTCATGACATCGTGGAGTCCTAGCACACTGTTGTTGTTTCTGACACTCTTTCTCTCTCTACAGGAGTGTGCAGGTGAGCCTCTCTTCATGCTGTACTGTGCTATGAAACAGCAGATGGAAAAAGGCCCTATAGATGCCATCACCGGAGAGGCCAGATACTCCCTCAGTGAGGACAAACTCATCCGGCAACAGATTGACTACAAGACTCTGGTCAGTGCAAGTGCACAACATAAGTGAACTCATCTGATGTTTCTTTATGTCTCTGCATTTTTGAATTTTCTTTTTTTTTTTGAAATCGAGATTAAATCTAAATTTACCTGATGCGTCTCATGTATAATTCATGTGCACAATTCATGCATATTATTATAGAAGAAAAAAAGTCAACGTGAAGTCATGTTAAAGTGTCATGCTGTTAGTTTAGCAACATGCTAACACTAAACCCTATTGAAATCAGTCAATTCTCTATGTGCTTTATGTAAAGAGTGTTATTCATACTCCCTGCTGATAGAGTTATCAAATGTACAGCATTTCAAATCAGTCATGAGCTTTTTTTATGCAACTGCCTATATACCCTTACAAAACAAAAATATACGGGAATATACTGGAAAATATAATGTGATATATTAAGGAATACAACTCTGTATATGGGAAACTAGTGCTTCTATCTTTTTCAATATACTGCAATATATATAAGGACCATGTATGGCTAAATATTGATACGTATAAAAATATATAGCAAATAAGACAAACTGCACCGCGTTTGGACATGTAATAGCTTTATTGAAACACTCAATTAATTTCTTTCACATGGGTTTACATAAATCTGAACACATACAGTATTCATAAATATATTACTGAACATAAAATATACATTCAGTATATGAAAAGTGGCAATTTCATGTATTATTCAATATATTGTAATATATTAACAAAATATTATTCAATATATTTTCAAATAATTTAATAGATTGATCGTTACTCTAAGGAAAAGTATTTTCTTTGAGAGGGGTGGGCAGCTCACTGGTGTTTTCAGCTTGTTTTTACAGTGAGAGTGCTCTAACTGTTCAAACTAGATGCTAATAATTAATTGCTCAGACTGATTTATCTCGTCTCCTTTTAGACACTTCATTGTGTGAACCCCGAGAACGAGAACGGCCTGGAGGTGACGGTGAAATGCCTGAACTGTGACACAATCACCCAGGTGAAAGAGAAGCTTCTGGATGCTGTGTATAAAGGAAGCCCATACTCACAGAGACCAAAAGCAGGAGACATGGACCTGGGTAAGAACTCTTGAGAACGACGAGGGAGGAATATGGCAGAAAGTGGCTTTTCACACTTGAAATTTTAATGCAGGGTCATTCTAAACCCTGTATAGCATAATCCTGGGTTAACTTGTTTCATGGTGCACACTATTTATACTTTGCCCTGGATTTGTAATTAATGCTGGGCAGTGGGGTTCATACTCTACATTTGGAAACCTTGGGTTAATGTTCCTATTTGCATATTTATGAGGTCAATAAGATTGATTGGCAAATGACCTGTTTTAATAACTGCATGTCCATCTCTGAAAATGTTTAATGTTAAAGTGAAGGTTTCTATGGCAAAACACATGAATATTGAATGAGGCCGTTTATGATTGGTTTTCTGTTGATGAATAATTTGCTGTAACGTTCTAGCACTGCATCATTTCACACTGTATAGTGTGAACCTTTGCCTCTGCAATTCGTGAAGATTTCATTACCTGGGGTTAAAAGTGGTGCTAACCTCTTTTCAAAATTACACGAGTGAAATGTTCCATAACCCAGGGTAAAGAGTGGCCTTACCCAGGGTTAAAAAGATGATAACCCAGGGTTAAATACAACGTGAAAAACCCTGAAGGGATTTGCGGCTTTATGAATGGATGGCAGAGCAGTTATGCTTCAAGATGGATACATCAATGAAATATTACACATATGTCAACATAGTTGAATGTCATTAAAATTAATGATCAATTAATCATTTTAATCATTGACTTTAAAGCAACAAAATGCATGTGGAAAAGTCAAAATATTACCCGGACATAACCTGAAATTATTTGACAATTGGTAAGCTTAAAGGTGCAGTAGGAGATCTTGGAAAATGCTAACTTTAGCCTGATAGCACTGAAAGCGAACGTCCCACCCTCCCTGCAATCGCTGTCCAAAGCCACGCCCCCTGAACGCATATACACTCACTCATAGACCAGAATACCAGAAACAACATTACTACAATAGGCTACATCAGCGGTTCCCAATTGCAGCCCATGTTCCGAAGTTAAATAAACTTCAACGGATTTCCCCCACTCAGGGAGTAGGGAGCAATGAACACTGTGTTATCATATCGATCGGAACACAGTTCATGCACGTAGCTCTCTTCTAATGAGCTGGTTATCTGAATCGGGTGTGTTAACTAAGCGAGACATGCTAAATACATGCGCGAGGACTGGAATTGGGAACTGCTGGGCTGCCTACATCATGTGTCATTCACCGGTGAGAAAACTTTAAAAGTACTACAATACCAGGAAGGAAGATTGGGTTGTTGATTCTCTGCCATTCTCGCTCAGTCTGCACAGCGTGTGTGAACGCGCTGATGACGTATCCTGTCTGTGCGAACCGGGTGCGCAGAGGTATGCTAATACATACGTTGACAGGCAGGTAGGAAAGCCAATTAAAACGCTCGGACAGAGCGTTTTGATTGGACGAACATTTCTTGGTCCTACGCCTTCCACAGAATATATAAATACAGATAAATACATTTAGACCACTTAACTTAATGCTTGCTATCGGGATGTGAAGAGACTTTCAACCAGCATAACAAAAAATGTTTCTGAAGACAATCACCTATTGCACCTTTAATTAAATAATTAAACTAAATTATTAACATCCCTATTGCACAATCTTGTAATCAAATGCTTCTGTTCAAAGCAGGTACTGCCAGCTGATACAAATGTCCAGCTTATCAGCAGCTTGATATAAATGGATGCTGAATTCACCATTGTGGGCACCAGGGAAATAGACACTGAAGCATATCATCCACAGCAAGATCCCATTAGCTTGAGCAGTTCCCAACATGATTGTCATCTGGCTCAGACTGAGTGATGCTACAGTATCAGCTGCAGATCTTATCTGGCTTTGCTTTGCTCCTTGGCAGTTGTCTTTCAGGGCCTGTTTCGAAATAAGAAACTGCGACTTCCTCCTGTAACAAACAAACAGGGAGGTTGTTTATTGGAACGGTTTGCTTGTAAGAGGCTTAGAATAGTCATTCCCATGACCTTGATCAGATCTGTCATTTAGATATGACCCGGACTCTGACTTCCTAGTTATGTCGCTCACCTCTGTTAACAGCAAGTGCATGCTTTTGTATCTGTTCAGCTAGGAAAAGCAACTTCACTCTGCACAGGGCGATTCGGACAAGGTTATGTGTTCTAAATGAAGCCTTTCTAAAGAGGGAAGCTTCCCTAAAGTGGTCAATCGTCCTTGTGTGTCGGAGTGATGTGCGTGTTGCGTGTACACATAATAAGTATAAGTAAATGCTGTTTTCTAAAACATGAAACATCACTCCATTCTTATTGACACACCATACTCATCTTGTTTTCTGTTGCAGAGTGGCGGCAGGGGCGACTGGCGAGGATCATTCTGCAGGATGAGGATGTCACTACTAAGATTGATAATGACTGGAAACACCTGAACACACTAGCACACTATCAGGTATGGTTACTGTCCACACCTGAGCTGTTACCATGGAAACAGCCTTAATAAAGGTGTAATGGACAGAGAATACCAGAATTAGGTGGTGGTCCCTGAATACATTCAGGGTTCTCTTGGTCATGGAAAATCTTGGAAATTATAAGTTTGGGATCAGTAAGATTTGTAATGTTTTTTAAAGAAGTCTCTTCTGCTCATCATGGCTGCATTTATTTGATTAGAAATACAGGAAAAAACGTAATATTGTGAAATATGATTGCAATTTAAAATAATGGTTTTCTTTTTTAATATACTTTAAAATATAATTTATTCCTGTGATGCAAGAGACTTCTTTAAAACGCATAAAAAATCGTACTGATCCCAAACTTTTGAACAGCAGCGTATATACTGTATATATATATATATATAATGGAAAATTCTTCAGTGAATATAAATATGTGGTCAAGCCAAATTCAAATCTTAGTGGGGTTTTTTTTTTTTTTTTTTGGTATCCAAATAATATCCTAATTCGAAGTATACTTACCTGGTATACAAATGTAAATGATTTCCAGTAATCTCTATCAAATTATTTTAATGGTAACTCACTGAAATAAAGTGGGAATTTAAAAGTTGTTTTTCTACAAAACATTTGTAATCAAGTCAACATATTAGTCATATGTCTTACGTCGCTGGGGTATATTTGTAGCAACAGCCAAAAATACATTGTATGGGTCAAAATTATAGATTTTTCTTTTATGCCAAAAATCATTAGGATATTAAGTAAAGATCATGTTCCATGAATATATTTTGTAAATTTCCTACTGTAAATATATTAAAAGTAAATTTTTGATTAGTAATATGAGTGAGGCCTCGGTATGAGTATCTCGGCCAAATATTGTCCTATCCTAACAAACCATACATCAATGGAAAGCTTATTTATTAAACAAATCGACCCTTATGACTGGTTTTGTGGTCCAGGGTCACATATATCAAACACTACCGGTAAAATAATTGGGATAATTTTGTAATGTTTTTAAAAGAAGTCTCTGATGCTCACCCTGGCTGCATTTATTTTCTCAAAAATACAGTAAAATCAGTAATATTCTTAAATATTATTACAATTTAAAATAACTGTTTTATTTTATTTTTATATATTTTAAAAAAATCTTTTTTTTTTTTTTTTTTTGCATCTGTTTCACAATATAAAGG